ATGTCCCCAAATCCCCCAAAATCTTTTCAATGTCCCCCAATCTCTCCCCTCCATGTCCCCAAACCCCAAATCTCTGTCCCCTCCGTGTCCCCAAATCCCCCGAAGTCTCACCTGCACCTCCCGCTTCTCCGCCGTCTCCTCGCTGTCGGTGTCCCCGCGGTGTCCCCCGCTCTGTCCCCGGTGTCCCCCCCGCTGTCCCCCGCCAGTCTCCGCACGATCCGCGCCTCCACCGCCAGCGCCACCGCGGAGCGAACGCGGCCGCGAGCGCAGGGACGGCGACAGCGGGGACACAGCGGCGACACCGAGAGCGGCGACGTCGCGACATCGGCCGGAGGGGACAGCGAGGCCAGCAGGCAGCGGCGACAGCAGCTGTGCTCGCACGGCAGCAGCACCGGGTCCCGCACGGGGCCACCGCAGGCGGGACACGAGGTGGCCACGGCCAAACGGGCGAGCTCGCCACGCTCCGGGGTCCCCGTGGGGGACATGGCGACAACGGACAGGGATGGGGACGGGAGTGGGGCGGGAATGGGGATGGGGACACGGGGGTGGCACCGCTGGGGACAGGGGCGGGGACGGGACAGGGAGGGGACAGGGAGGGGACACGGGGGTGGCACCGCTGGGACAGGGACAGGGACGGGGATGGGGACAAGGAGGGGACAGGGACAGGGAGGGGACAGGAATAGGGACAGGGAGGGGACAGGGAGGGGACACGAGGGTGACACCGCCGGGACAGGGAGAGGGACGGAACAGGAACGAGGACAGGGACGGCGACAGGACGGGGACAGCGACACGGGGGTGGCACCGCCGGGACAGGGACAGGACGGGGATGGGGACAAGGATGGGACAGCGACAGGGAGGGGACAGGGACAGGACACGGGGGTGACACCGCTGGGGACAGAGACAGGGACACGGAGGGGACAAGGAGGGGACAGTGACACGGGGGTGGCACCGATGGGACAGGGACACGGAGGGGACACAGGGACAGGGACAGGGATGGGGACAGGGATGGGGACAAGGATGGGACAGTGACAGGGATGGGGACACGGCGGTGGCACCGCTGGGGACAGGGAAGGGGACAAACGTGGGGACGGGAAATAATTTGGGGATTAATTTGGGAATTAATTTTGGGATTTGGGGACGGGAATTTGGGAATTTGGAGATTTGGGGAATTTGGGATTTTGGGAATTTGGGGACGGGAAAACACAAACACGGGGACAGGGACAGGACACAGGGGTGGCACCGCTGGGGACAGGGAGGGACGGAAATAATTTGGGGATTAATTAATTTGTGGATTTGGGGATTGAATTTGGGGATTTTTGGGGCCAGGCAGGGGCGTGGGGACACAGGAAGGGACACGGAGGGACTTTGGAATTTTGGAATTTGGGACACGGAGGGACACTGGAATTTGGGGAGGGGCCAGGGAGGGACTCAGGAATTTGGGGACACGGAGCGACATTGGAATGCGGTGACACCGAGCGACGGACGGACATGAAAGGGGTCCCAAAATAGGGGGGCGGGGGATCCATGGAAAGGACCCCAAAAATGAGACCCCAAAAAAAGGAGACCCCAAAAATGTCCCCAAAGGGAGGGGGGGACCCCAAAATTGTCCCCAACAAGGCCCCGTCCCCTCCTCTCCCGGAAGTATTCGCGCGCCGGAAGTGACGCAACGACGCAAAACGAGGCCACGCCCACGTGAGGCGGAACAAAGATGGCGGCGCCCGTGAGGGACCGGGAGGCGCTGCAGAGACTGAACTTCCTGTTCCAGGTGAGGGGAGGGGGCCTGGGGGGGATTTGGGGAGAATTTGGGGGGTCCTGAGGGGATTTCGGGGGTTTGGGGACGGATATGGGGAGGTCCTGAGAGGATTTTGGGGGGTCCTGAGGGGATTTTGGGGGAATTTTGGGGGTCCCGGGAGGATTTTGGGGGAATTTCGGGGGTCCCGGGGGGGATTTTGGGAGGTCCTGAGGGGATTTGGGGAATCTTGGGAGGGATTTTGGGAGTTCCTGAGAAGATTTTTGGGGAATTTTGGGGATCCCGAGAGGATTTTGGGGAACCCGAGAAGATTTTGGGGGGTCCTGAGGGGATTTGGGGGAGAATTTGGGGGGTCCCGAGAGGATTTTGGGAATCCCGAGACGATTTTAGGGGAATTTCGGGGAACCCCGAGAGAATTTTGCCTGAATTTTGAAGCTCCCACCCCTTTTTTGGGGCCTTTCCCCTCCCTTTTCCCATTTTTTTTTGGGGGGAACTCCCCACAAGGGAGGATTTTGGGGAGGGGCTCCGACCCTTCTGGAGCTCCTCAAAAACCCCAAAATCGCCCAAATTTTGCCCAAAATCGCTGCCAGGCCGCGCATTGGGCGCAGCCGCGGAGCCCCGGCCTGGCTCGGTTCTACGGCAGCACCCAGAGAGCGGCGGCGCGGAGACTCGTGCTGAGAATGTGAGGATTGGGGAAAATTTGGGGGAAAATTCGGGATTTTGGGGGGTTTGGGGGGAAATTTGGGG